TTAAAAAGTAAAATATTAGAAACCTAAAAAGTCAAACTTGTAATAGTTTTTTTGATGTAAGAAACAAAAGAAAATACTTATACGGATGAAAAAAAAAACTTATCTTCAAAAAAATCCGAAAGACAAACAGTTTCGCGATATCTGCGGTATCTGTATTTTTCTGTTCGAAGCAGCATATATATATATATATATATATATGGTAGACGTATATATAGTAGTGTATTTTCGGAGAAATCGATAAACGCATTCAACGTGCTCTCGTGGACGCGATAGCACCACCAAAGTAAATCTCTAGGGTAATCGACCTCGAAATCATTGCCAGAGCATTCTCCGGGTTAGATACTAAAACCTACAACGCGCGCGGCGGCGCGTTTATTTTTCCTAGCCGCTTGTATTACGTGACTTGAACTTTCGTTGATCACGTAATCAATTCTCGACAGTCATCGATACCATTAATCACCCCGCCTTTTCCTACTTCCCCTCTTTCAGCACAGCCCGGTGCGGAATTTTCGCCGACAAATTGCAAACTAAAAAAAAAAAAATAAAAAAGAACGAAAAAATTAAACTGCATATAACCACGCCAGTGTGAAAATAACGGCGACTGCGATTTTTATCGCGGGTCAAATCGTTTGGAGCACACTTGGCCGTAAACTTTCTTGCGATTTTTAAAAACAACGCTTTATTATTCTCCTCATTTCCGGAGACACGACTGCATATTTAAAAGTTCTTTAATATCACGAGAACTCGCGAGAAAAAAATAAAAACAAATTTACGATAAACCAGTCTTGCAAACCTGTACGAGAATAAAGTGCAAAACTCGAGTTGCGTTAATTTATATCGTCCGTTGATGTGTGCGGATAATGCGCACGTGTGTGTGTGTGTGTGTGTGTGCTCAGAGTGAATGAAATTAGATCTCTGAGTAACGTTACTGACATCTCACAGAGCGCACACATCATTATCTGAAACTATAATTTGCTTTATCAACGAGCGAAATAATACATGATACGAGTTATATTCCGTGTAACGAGAAAATGTTTGAGGAAAACAGAAGCGCGGCACTTCACGTGTGACATTGTAAACACAACATAAACGGATGAAAACACTTCCAAACAATTTTAAACAAGTATTATTATTACAAATTGAAATATGAAAGTTTAGAATTTCTCTATATCGCACACAGCGTGCCATACATAGACAAATGCATATATATATATATGATTTATGTTTCACGGTGGTGAACACAAATCTAGCGTTGTTAAATTCGGAGTCGTGCAGTCATACATATATATATATATATACACACATACAGAAAACCATTACGCTTGACTTTCTTTCCTCTGACATTTTCTAAAATATCACTGGAGATAGATCTGTCACTGCCGCAATGATTAAAGTTCAGAACAATTCGCGAGTTTCCGTGAAACTTCGTAAACAGCCCTTTTCCTTCTCTTTGGAAGTGCATAGAGAAACAGAGAAAGAGAGAGAAAAGAGAAGATGGAGCGGCAAGGGGTGAAAGTCGCGCGTGGTAGCGGCAATCGCTGTGGTTCGTTGAACTCTCTTACCTTAACGTCCCCGCGCGCCGGGGCGACGGCAGCACGCAGCCAGCACGTTCATCCCTGCGCCGCGTTGCATCGCCCGTCCGTCCTTCCACCCTCGTTGTCGTCGTCGTCGTCGTCGTTGTCGTCGTCGTCGTCGTCGTCGTCGTCGCCGGGCGATGCGCGAACCTTCACCCGCAATTCACCCCCGGTCGAATTCAAGACGCGCACAGTGCACGGGGCAGATCGCACGGCAACAACATAACTCTCGCGTCAAAAAGAGTTTGATGGGGGAAAAAAAAAAAAATTATACCACTTGCACTCGCGAGTGCACGCACCGCGCGCGTGCAAACGTGGCTCTACACCCCCGCGGATGCCGGCGTGGCTCGCCGAAAAAAATGTCGAGTACCAGAGGGGCAAGGGGAGGGTTGGTCGGACGAGAAGGGCGGGAGGTAGAAAAAGAGCGAGAGAGAGATAGATAGAGAGAGAGGGAGAGAAAACAGAGCAGCGGCGCGTGGTTCGGTCGGACGTGCCGGCGCGACCGACAAGACACACCACGACGGACTGGGAACGAGGGTAGAAACGTGGTTGCCGTCGCTACGCCCTCGTGCACCGTCGGCCGGCCTCGGCATGCTCCGTCGAGCCGCGTCGCGACGCGCCGTACGGTCACGGTGTATCAGGGCCGTCGTACTCGCCTGTGGCGCCATTGAGGTCACGTGCGACCGACACGAAGGTATCGGCGAAAAAAGAAGCGGGGTTGCGAGGGGATGTGCGCGCTCGTCGCGCGCGCGCTGCATTTTCTAATCCACGCGCCGCGGTCACCGGCTTTTCGAAGCGCCGCGTATCCCGCTACGTAGTATCGATTATTGACTCTAACGTGCACTGTTCGATTTTTAAATTGTACGCGACGTGTACGAACTACTTTCGTTATAGCGTGCAGATGCGTAAAGATAGTACCGCACGAAAAAAAGGGAAAAATGTGCATAAACGTATATGTTACATTACATTAATCCTTTCCCGTACGAATCGGTGTGGCAAGACGCGAGCCAAAGCGGAAAGTCTTTCGCGAAACGAGCCAAAATAACATTATTTTTTTGTTTTTTTTTTTTCATGTTCTTTTCATGTTTGGCCCGTAATCGGTACCACGAGTCTGACTTATTATACGGAAAGGGGTTAAATTAACACATTGAACGTCACGGGTCACTCATTTGTGAAAACAAACTCCACAAAGAATTCGCGTGCCAGATTTATTTAACACAGATTATTTGACCAATTTGATATATCGCACAAAAAAAAACTAACTAATTTGGACCACTTAGAAAACGCATCCGATTTCTACCGGACGTTAATAACGGCGTGGAAGTTTGAATTCTTAGAATCTCTGTCGCGTGACCATCTTTTCTCTTTCTTTTTCTTTTTTCCCTCTTAAGTTTTAGAATGCAGTTTTTCGAAGTTCACAAAACCAGCTAACTCCGCCGCCGGCTAACTCTCGACATTAATATTTCTATTGTTGTTGAACTTTCTTTATACGGCCGGATTTATTATTTATTTTCCTTTGTGTTTGTGTTGTAAAATCAAGACTCTCTCTCTCTCTCTCTCTCCCTCTCTCTCTCTCTCTTTCTCTCTCTCTCTCGCTGTCTCTTGAAGAAAGAGAGTGCATGCGTTCCGATCTAGCGATTGATCAGGCCGATTAACGTGGATTTTATCTGAGAGAGCTGATTGGATAGAAAAAATAGACGCAACGACGAGAATATCGCGGTGTACGACGAGGAATATCGATTCACGTTCTGTGAGCCGCCTTTGCACACACACTCACTTTGTCTCATGATTAATCTAGCAAATGCCATCCTTAATTTAAGCACCGGAGTCTGCAACAATATTATTCCTAGACTTTTTTATTCATTATAGAAATCGATCGCGCGAGAACGTCGTTATTGCCGTACATCGATTTCGTACAAATAGTCGTACAGGGCATCGGAAAGAAAGGATATCGATTCCGATGTGTGTGTGTGTGTGTGTGTATCTCCCGTCAACTCTTTCATTCCCGATAACTTAATTTTAAGAAGTCTCTCTCTCTCTATGTGTGTCAGTTGATGATAATAATACAATATAATTAAATATTGCGTTACGCGCAATGTATGTGTGTGTTGTGTGTGTGAGAAACGTGTGTGCACTCTACTTATTATTCACACCTTGTAATTCCCTATACGGAGCTTTAAAAGCTTATAACAATGTAATATTATTTTCCGCGCGAAATTACCGTGTAATTGCTTCGAAATAATTACGTTTTATCAGCATTTCTTCCGTAAGAGACGAGTGTTTTTTTTTTTTTCGTTGCTGTTCTCTTTTCTCTTTTTTTTTTTTTGTTTTTTTTTTTTGTTTTTCTCATTGACGATGCTATTTCGCGAAATTAATGCGCACAAGCGCTGAGTAATTACGAGCGCATGCGAGGCCGCGCTCTGTAGGTAGGTAGGTACGTGCATACATACGTATACGTAGGTGTACGTAGGAGACCGCGTGCATGCCGAATACGATTACGAAGTGTGTCATAAATAATATCTCCGTGGCCGCGTGCGGTATCATAGCGTAACGGAAGATTTCCCGACGGAATTCCCGGGCTCTCAAAAGATGGAATCAACCGTAAATGCTCGTTTTATCGCGTGCCGCACTCGCGCCCTTCTCGCACAAACGGATTAATCCGCGTTGCTGTGCGGTCTGGAATTAATCCCTCGTAAACATTTTCGCTTTCATTGTTTTTTCATCGATGTCGCCATTCCCGTTATATTGGCACGATCCGGGTTATTATAATCCGCCTCCCGATTTTAATCGATTCGTGAAAAAAACAAAAAGAATTACATCGATGCGACAACACAGGAGAAAACCGAACCACCGACCGACTATCTAGAGACTTCGCTTATCCCCAGTCTCGTCGTCACAAGCACGTATAAGAAAAAAAAAAGAAATTTAAAAACACGTTTAATTATATACTCGTGACATTTTTTATCTTGCTGCGTCCATTATCGCGTCGAAAAACACGAGAAATAAATAATAATAAATTTTTCTCTCTAGCGTCTCAATAACATTTTTGAAAGGAAGTCGCTCCGCGAGAAGAGAATTCCATTAATTGACAAAGATTAAGTAATTTGTATGCGACCGCACTGGATCGCTGTTAAAATTGATATACAGATGTCGATTTAATTTAAACCGAAATACATATTTATAAAATACAAGCGCTCAAGACCTCGAGATTATGTAAATTACATTGTCTTAATTTGTTTTGGAATCAAGATGATGACTTTTGCTCTTACTTTCGGATAGATCGAGGACGAGCAACCGGCTTTTGAAGTGGAATCGAGTTGTGACGACGCGGAACAAGGTTCCTCGTCGTCATTTCTATGAAGATAATCGTATGCGCGTATACTGGATATTTCCTATATAAACGCCGATCGTCTGTCTTAACGATCACAGTCGATCTGCGAAATTATTCAAGAAACTATTCAAAACACAATGAGAAGCTTTGCGGTAAGTGTCAACGAAGATCTTTTTTTATTTATACATAAACACAGTGCGTACGTTATTATTTAAATTGAGTAACAATGTGAGAAAGGTTGTCAAACTTCTTGTTTAATTCTGCGTGACATGACATATGAGAAAGCAATTATAAAATATATATTATTTTATTTAAAAAAACTGTGCAGATTCTGTTGTTGGCAACCGCTGTGTTGGCGGCTCCGACACAGAAGAAGGACAAGCGAAACTTGCTGTTGGATAGTCTCGATGTCTCGGACTACGCTCTCCCGTACAGCTTCGCGGGATATCCCACTGGACTGTTCGATCTCGGCACAAGGATATTCCAGGGATATTCCCCTCTGGATAACAGCCTAGTCGTGTATCCTTCCGGATTGGAATATGAAGATCCGTTGTACTCGGGAAACTTCGGTAACATCGTTCGCTTGAACCAACTTGCTTTGGCCGGATTTGTGAGCGACATCGACACATTGCCGCTGATCTTGAACTCGGCGCGTAACAATACTGAGAGCAACATTAACAACCAAGTTCTGAATTCTCAATCGGTGCCGCAATCGCTCTCGATCGAAGCGTTAAAGGACTACAGCGGTGTTGCCGAACCGACGGAGACGTCAAAACCCGTCACTCAGCAAGTACAGAACACAACTGGGAGTAACACTTAATCCTGTAAAACGTTTTTGTTTTAGATACGTATCCTATACATTTGTATTTGTACATTCCTGTCGTTGGATTGGTTAAAATGTTGTAAACACTGTGTAAAAATTCATGGAACTTTATTCAACATTCTATATTAAGAAAATAACATTAGTTTTGATATGTTTCTTTAGTTTTTAGAAATTCTTTCACTAAATAAATAATAAAATATCTCATATTTGAGAATCGGACATTCATGTTCGGAGTTTACAAGATTAGAGTTAATAAAACCCCGCTGTTAATATTGCACTTATATTTACTTTCTGTAGTACAAGCATTTCTCTGTTATTTATATATATATCAGTTACATGTATATTTCAATAACATTTTTTCGTGTATGTGTTACATCACAGTTACATTTGCGATGTGCGCAGCGTTAGATGCAGCAAAGCTTTTCCCAAAGTTTTGTTGACTCGTGTATACAAGGTAGTTTAACATTGGACGCTTTTAACGACCGCCTCTCTCTTCGTCGTCGTCGTCGTCGTCGTCGTTGTCGATGTCGTCATCGTCGTCGTCACGGACGTATGCGCGCGCGATTTGCCGGGTCGTCATGGCGACGTAAACTCAAAAATACACGCCTGGCAGTGGCGGAATAGATTATTGTACGCGTTACGTGATGGTTAGAGTCGCGTATAGCTACAAGTACAGTCGTAACTAAAGGCGCGCGGACATCACGTCGCCGATGTAGAATGACGTGCGATCCACGTGCTCGTGTCACGTTACGTTCATAAGTGCAACCGCGATCTAATTTCTAAATTATAGATTGAAAACAGTCATTTAAGAACTTAGACACAGGATGTGTGTAAGTTATTCAATGATTATAAATTAAAAACAATAATAATAGTAAATTATAATGAATACAATTATTACAAACTACGAATCCTGTATTCAAGTTCTTATTGACCGTTTTTTCTCAGTCTTTTTGGAAAAACTCAGAGCTACATTAACACTATCTTGAATCTAATTTTTAAATTGCAACAAGAGTTTGTTTACGATCAATCTAAAAATACAATTAATTTATTCATACATTATTTTTACTTGTATATAAGTAAATATATATAAATGTATAGAAAGATGAATTTTTTTAGTTCATTATTACTTTGTCGAAATAAAACTATCAACATATATAAATAAATAACATATATGATATTGTCTTCGCAGTATATATTTTGCTACATAACGAGTGTTGTAATGTAACCACTCTGAAATTCTAATTTTCCGTGTAATTCTTTTTTAATTAATAAGAAAGACCGACTTAACGTAATTTCAACGTTAAAACATATCGTCGCTTCGATACATTACAATTCCGTACGGTTCCAATCTCAAATTGAATTTCGTTCCTCGCGAAGAGGCGAAACCGAGACGAGAAAATTCGACGTATCTTTACGAGTCAGAAGACACAGCGGTAGTAGGAAAGGAAGAACGGCCGCCATTGTGTGAAACTCGAACGAAAAAGGCGGAGGACGAAGCGAGATCACGAAAACTTTCGACAGTTCTCGAGAAGAGAAATATATATATACATACATACGAATCGCTCCTGTGAGAAACTTGAAGAAAAATGGAACGACGCGGCGGCGCGTTTCTCTCTTTCTCGGGAGGAAACTCCGCCTTGTTGGCAAACGGCGTGAATTATGTTATTAAAAAATGCACAGAACCGCTGAGAACTTACGTGCTTTCCTATCAGCTGCAGATGGCTCGAAGGAAATGTACACCTGACTCCGCTTTCGGAGAAAAAGTTTTTTAAGAAGCAATCGAATTCACATTAAATTTTATCGTTACTCGACTCATCTGAATTATTTCGCGTAGTTGCGCGTTTAAAGTTTTGCAATTGCTTTCGTCTTTTTACACACGGAAGCATAAGACATTATTTTCAACGTGAACACAATGTGATTATATTTTTAGCACGTCCGTCTCCCTCGTTTGTTTTTCCCTCCTATTTTATTTGTTTGCGCGTTTACACGGTTATTTCGGTTATATCTCCCCGCCTAGTTTGAGATATCTCGAGCAGAAATCTTAATTGAAATTTGTTGCTACACTAGTGTTATCGCTAACACGATTCGGTTTCCGGCGTTAAACCTTCGACGGGAGCATCGGGAGTATTTCTCTCTTTTGAACGCGAGAAATTAATTTCAAAATGCGGGCGAGATTTTCTGCGGGGGCGACGATGTAAGTCACGCATATATACTAACTACGGTTCGCGATGTTATCACGCTACGTTTCGTAAGACGGGATCACACCACGCACCTTTACTGGCGACTAACACGCCACGCTGGCGCAGTTCGCCGCTAAAAGCGTTATATAAATTTAAACGCTCGGTGAATTAGGAGTGAGGCCTGCCTCTTTGACCGCAATATATATAATACATAAAATGCAGCTAGATGCTTTTATCTTAAGAACTCTTTGATCAATTTTCCATTTATAACGAAAATCTAATTAACGAGTTCTCCGCGCGCGATGACTTTCTGACGTGTGCCGACACAAAGTTAACTCTCCCTCTCTCCCTCTCTCTCTCTCACTCTCTCTTTGAGTGAAATCAATCGAATAAAGTTTCAACTTCGAAAATCTCATGATATAATTTACTACATCGCAAAAAACAACAAATAAATTATTATCGTATAAAAACATAAATAATATATTTTCATAGAGTGATCTTTAATTTATGTATGTGTGGAAAGCTCACGCGACACACGCGTACGTTGCTTTTGCGAGTCGATTTAAATGTAAAGATATGTATGGATATATATGTACATTATATACATATATATATATTTAAATATATATATACATACATATATATATTTATCTACATCTGATAACGCTCTTCTTTCTCCAATAAAATTACGAAATTTCGCATCGAGTCATATATTATAATATAGCACTCACCTCAAGAACACAGTGACGAAGCATCATGTGAACCGAACCGTGGGGTAAGCATGGAGTAAGGTAGGTCAGTGCCCGTACTCATAATATCGAGATACGAACGCGGATAGGACACACGCGAGCCAGTAAGGGTGAATTTGCCCCCGGGCCGCAATCCAGCGCATGCATTCCGAATTGCATATATGCGCTCGCGTGATTATGCAGTCCACACAATAACTGAATTCGCGTTCTATACTATTCGTTTCCTTCCGCAGAAACCGACCTGGCGATTTCGCCTCCTTCGAGCTCATTTATACGTGTATCTACCGAAAAGCACTTCCCTGTTTAACAAAAACGAACTGTACAAAGTGACGTTTAATTTTCGTCTTGTAAAACAACAATGCTGCAAAAAAATAAAAAAATTTTAGAAAACAAATAAAATAGTATCTGCAAGAAAAATAAAATACATCTACACATTTACTTTGTTACCAAACAAAATTCATAAAATGTAAAATAAAAAAATAAAATGCAGAAACACAACACAAACGTGATATCCTCCTCCTCCTATATAAAAAAAAATCCATGTGTACCGCGGAGTGCGCGCTTCGGAGTCAAATCTATCGCATCTATTGTTGCCTCTTTTCCGCGTTGCATTGGTTGATCAAGTCGAGTCGAGTCGAATCGAATCGGTAAGATTGAGAGAGTAAATAATGACAGAAAAGCGATTTTGACACTTCGTCGTATACGTGGAAAAAATTAAAAACAAAGTCACGTGACAGGAAAGAGTAGAAAAATAATACGCGATTAAAGTAACGTGACTGTAATTTATATTATATGTATCATTAAATAATATATATTATACATATATATATAATACATATAATTATACACATATTATACATATAATTTATAATATTATACTTTATATTGTATTATATGTATTATATACATACTACAGTACGATCACTGACCTCGGCCGCGCGGCCTTGGCGGGGCACTGACCTCGGCCGCGCGGCCTTGGCGGGGTCACTGACCGCGGGCGC